GAAGAGCATCGACAGGTTTGAGGCGATCCAACGACGGGCAGCACGCTTTGTCCTGAACCGCTAAAGGAATACCTCTAGTGTTGACAGCATGCTGGATACACTGTAATGGTCACTATTGGAGGAACGACATCGACTATACAGGCTCTCCACGAAGTACAAGATAAATAATGGACTGGTCCACTGCTCCAGCATTGTACAGAAACTCTCTCCCCCATAGACAGCGACGAGCCCATGACAGGCAGTTCCGGCTCATACCAGCGAGGAGCCAGTATAGGAACTGCTCCTTCCTGCCAAAGACTATCAGGGACTGGAACAAGCTTCCAAAAGGAACAGTTGAGGCGACAACTCTAGACACATTTGCGTCTATTACTTCAGGCCTTCAAACCCCCGTGCATGATACCCTCACAAAGTAGCCCTTGCAACCAGTAAAATATCCTCATCAACACCAGGCACAGAAACATTGCAAATCCCCTCTACATGCATAGGAGCCAAAATGATCAATAAATTGATCGTGGGCCCTTAATTTATAGAAGAAGAAGAAATAAATAATATATATATATATATATATATAGCGCAAAAGTAAGTAGATCTGGCGTAACAAAAAAAAAGCCCTTTTTATGTAATTTAATTTCTGACTCATTACTCCAAAGATTTTTATTTTTTTTTCACAATTTGGTAATTTACCCCGGTTTGCCGACCCCAATTTTAGAGTTAATATTGTTTTTTAAAATTTTTATTGATATTAACATATGTTAACTGTAAGTCACAAACTTATAGTTGTGTCTTCAGACGACAGATTGTGGAAGGAGGACATGGAAAGGCACGTTCCGTATTAAGAACAAGACCAAGTCGTCTGGGTCTGACACAGGACGTCCATTAGATTGATTGTACCGCCATCACTCCTAGTGCTCAACTTATATCTTTAGAGGCCTCCCGATCTACAGACAGCCCATAGGGGAACTTGGCTATATTTAACAACACCTTAAAAAAAAAAAACAAACACGAGGATAAACGGAAACCTCCCACGCCTTAGTCGGGGGCGCATTGAGCCCCCAAGCCTTAGTCGGGGGCGCATTGAGCCCGCAAACCTTAGTCCGGGACGCATTGAGCCCCCAAGCCCTAGTCCGGGACCCATTGAGCCTCCAAGCCTTAGTCCGGGATCCACTGAGCCCCTAAGCCTTAGTCCGGGGCCCGTTGAGCCCCCAAGCCTTAGTCCGGAACCCACTGAGCCCCAAAGCCTTAGTCCGGGAACCATTGAGCCTCAGGTCCAAGTTTTCCCAGTAAACTATACAGGAGGGCGCCTTCAGGTCTCAGTTGCACCCAGTAAACTAGTAGGAGGGCGCCGATACTTCAAATATGAAAATAGGCGTCTTCCCAACAAAAAAAAAAAAAAATAATAATAATAATAATCGCCCCCCCCCCCCAACACACACTCATAATATATACTTACGAAATACCCTTTGGATAAGCCAACTTTTCCTATTATCTACAGTTACAGTTTATTAAGTCAGTGGTTTCTAAACTTTAGGTAACTGTGAAGCCAGCCTCATAAATTAATGCAGCAAAATAGGTTTTTACGACAAATTCGGAACTGATCATTTTAGAGCATTGCAATATTTAAAAAAATAAATAAATTTATAACTCATATTGGTTAAAAACATTTGAATAAATTACCTGAACTCCCTCAGACTTTAAAAATGAACTATTTGAAAAATGTTCATACTACTAATCCCATCAGTGCTCAGCATAATGTCCAGAGTGTAGCATCTTTTAATAAGAAAAAAAAAAGAAAAAGAAAAAAAAATCACACAAAAATAATGGGATGTCCAGAAATATTGGCGCGACAGAGGAATCCGTTATTGGCCGACACACGACGTATGTCCTTCAATGCAAGCAGACGTACGTCCTTCAATGCGAGCAGACGTACGGTGACGCAAGATGCCACAGTGGGTGATGGGCACGGAAATCCATCAAGCAAATTTGGGGGCCTGTAGTCCAAGAAAAAAACTGCCGGCGCTTCTCTCTGGGCGTGTATGAATGGTTGAAAATAGGATGGGTAGAAATGGGGGGCGGGGAGAGAGGGGGTGGTAGAGGGGTGGGAGGATTCTCTTTTCACAATATTCGGCAGGCGCCCAAATAAATCACGTGACGAGCCTGCACGTGCGGTTTAACTCACGACGTAAGGTGAGTCGGTGGAGGGGAGAGAACCGGCTCGATCTTCTCAGAAATTTGGAGGAAAAAAAGGAGGGCATTGGCAGGGTGGGGGTTGGTAGCCGTCACAAAATATATAAAACAAAGAGATAATGAGCAGACGTCTATGAAAAGGGACATTGTTATTTTGTGCATGTTTGGAAATGTAATACAATTAATTTTAAAGAAAATAAACAAAGGAGATAATTGCACAAGAATGAAAGGCTTTTGTAAAGAGCCGATGAAAGCATAATTTGTACCAAAAAAAAAAAAAATGAATGTTTAAAATCTGTCAGTAGTCTCAGCATAATTGATATGGATAGTGCCTTATCTATCCTGTGCATGAGTGTAGCTCTTGCAGTGACGCCCATGCAGTGACGCCCATACAGTGACCCCCATGCAGTGACGCCCATGCAGTGACGCCCATGCAGTGACGCCCATGCAGTGACGCCCATGCAGTGACGCCCATGCAGTGACGCCCTTGCAGTGACGCCCATGCAGTGACGCGCATGCAGTGACGCGCATGCAGTGACGCCCATGCAGTGACGCCCTTGCAGTGACGCCCATGCAGTGACGCCCATGCAGTGACGCCCATGCACCACCCATGTTAAAATGAAAAAAGAAACAGCAACGAATGCAGACCTGCTTACGCCCAGAATCTGACTTCAAGGTAAAGTCCAGTATTATTATCTAAATCTAAGCAGTGGCGTAACTAGGTTAAGTGCCGCCCAGGGTGGGTGGAAGCTTTTTTGGCGTTCCCTTTCCACTAAAAACAACTCAGCATTTTGCCCAAATGTGCCGCCCCTCAATATAAAGAAAAAAAAAGGTGCCGCCACCTTCAAGTACCACTGAATCTAAATTATATTCGACAACCCCATCCCCAGACCGTGTCTGTTGGTTCTGCTGTTCCCCCCCCCCCTTCCCACCCGGCTCGTGCCATGTACGCCCTTGGTCCTGCACCACACATGCGTTGCGTAAAAAAAAAAGGTGCCCCCACCTTCAAGTACCCCTGAATCTAAATTATATTCCACCACCCCCTCCCCAGACCGTGTCTGTTGGTTCTGCTGTTCCCCCCCCCCCCTTCCCACCCGGCTCGTGCCATGTACGCCCTTGGTCCTGCACCACACATGCGTTGCGCAAGCCGAGACACTGGTTGGAGTGTCCCAGAAGGTTTTTGTGAGGGCAATTTACGAAACTAAAGAGTATGGGTTGTTGCGCTCTTTCTTAATTAAAGGTGTAGCTTTATAAACGAACAACCAGGTATATTCAGGGGCTATTGGGGCAGGTGATGGGCTCGTTATTCATCCACAGCACTGGCAAGGGCGGACAACAAAACGTTATCTACAGATACAAACCTACATTGTTATCTCTCCCCCGTTCCCCACCCCCCCCCAAGTTATCTACCTTTTTCTCAAAACTTTACACAGATAATATATCAACAACTCCGATTCGAAAACGCTGTGTGCTATGTCCCTGTACCGAACATCCTTCCTTTGTAGACTTCCAGTCCTTTTATCTCCCCCCATAGTTCCAGACGAGACAAGGTAGGATAGGGGAGATGGCTCAAGTCTCCGATATCAGTTATATCCCCATTTCCGTTCTGGCGAAAGTGTTTCCCCGCCAGGGGGATATGTAGTGGTAATTGGGTGGGAATAGAGTTATCAGTCCTGGCGCAGCCATTGTTTTCGGGGACTTGTGGATGTCCTAATGAGCGGCAGTCCGCTACAGGCAGGTCGTGTCTGCTGTAGACCAGAGGTTCTCAGTCAGGCGTACCTCTAACATTTCGGAGGTATTCAGCCGATGGAGTTCAGGAGTCCGTAAATGGGAACACAATTAAAATATTCGTACTGAAATTTTACGATTTGAAAGACTTCATCAACATTCTTGATCATATAGTCTTCACACTTTAAAATTAAAAAAGAAGAAGAAAAAAAGACCCCCCCCCCCCAATGTTTATTGAACAACATCAACTATAAATCAGCCTTAAATAAGAATTAAAACAACAACAACAACAACATTGAGTTGNCCCCCCCCCCCCCCCCCCCCACCCGTGTAAAAATATGTTTCTAAGCGTACCCGAAAATATCACATCTTTGTACTGCAAGGTATGACCGCCCAGCCTTGCAGCTACTGTAGTCCCACACAACAAAGGCAAAGCTTACACTACACCTCGCCCCCTGACACAACATTTTTTTTATGCATTGTCTGTTGCGCAACACTCTCCCCCCCCCTCCCTTTTTCCTCCCTACTCACCCCGCCCTCATCGCACAGGTTGAGAGACCCAGCTGGAGAGCTGGAAAAAAAACATAAGACAGTGAAGGAAAAGCAAGGGAAGCAAATCAATATTTTCACACAGCTTTACACAGTACATGTAATTCATTTATTATTCGATACATTAAGCTGATAATCTCTACTTAGCTGATGTGTTTGTTTATAAGTTTAAATACAGTTCCACCGGGTATTTTGAATGAAACAGAACATATTTAATACCAAGTTTTTTCCATTCCGATATTACAATTCAAAATTTAAAATTGGTCGGGGCACTCATTCTTGACTATTTAGTTTTTAAAAAAAAGTTTTTGGACAAAACAACAACCAAACATATTCCCCCGCCCCCACCCCTATTATGATTTCTCCAAATTTGCTTACAACAACATAACAAAAAGTCATGTGATCAATTCAAATCTCCATCTTACAGGATTTAAAAAAAAATAACAACAACATACACAATTAAAAATTATAAACTATACCTTTTATTATTTTTTAAGTCATCTATGTAGTTAAATTTTTTAAATAGAATATGTTTTATAGGGCAAAAGAACATTCAAGTTATTATATTTGTGCATTTTTTTTTTTTTGGCAATGCAAAAGCATAAAAAAATGTTTTAAAAAGAAAACAAAAAAGCATAATAATTACTATTTCAACAATCAAACAATGTCTCCAATAGGAGATAATTAATTCTTCACATGAACCTGGGAATTTGTAAGATATTCATCAATACATTGTAAGTAGATCAACATTTACTGTCTAGGCTGGTTTCAACCAAATAAAATTAAATTTTAGTTGCAGCCTACTCAGAAAATAATATGAGGTGCTTTGGAGACAGATAATTTACCATTTCAAATTTTATATAATCTTAAACCTTTGATTACTTGCATTAAATAATAAAATTAAAATCTCAAATATGAGAACTATATTAGAAGAATGTGGTTTTTTTTGTGTTGTTTTTATATACACAAAATGGTAAATAAATTCTTAAATACAAAAAAAACCTGACAAAAATTTTTGAAATTAAAATATTACTTTGACATTTTCTAAAATTATAGTGAGACATCTTATAATTTATCAGACAATAAAACAACTTGTATGCTTAAAATTTATTATTATAGAGCTGGTGAGATCAGTATTCAACAATAATTTTTTAATAGCATAAAATAATATTACACTCACAGTAATAATATAAATTCATTTCATCAAAAAACATGGAATATTTAACAAGATGTACAATATCTTTTTACAGTAAATCATATGGAAAAAAAAATGTTTTAAAAGTGTAAACAAAACATTCAGAAAATAGTGCAAAAGATTCCCCATATTCGATGTCTGAATTTATTTTATAATCTTAATAACTGGGTTATCAAAATCATTAGGCTTATTTTGAGCCTTTCATAAGCTAATTGACCCACACCAAAAAAAATCTTCTGATCAATTAATTGTGAAGAAATATTTGCTCACAAATATTTTTTGGGGGTTAAAATCCAGTCTTATGGTACTGACAATGTTCATATCACAAATGTGCTAACAGAGAGTTAAAACTGCTTCCTAAAACATCAATGAACAAAATGGTAACAGCAAATTGTGCTGGAAGAAAACAAATGTTGCATGATCATTGAGATGTGTATAAATAACATGAACATACATTTTAAATATTTGATTACACTTTCCAGCCTAATTATATGAAGCCAATGAAATGCTGTTGTTCTTGAGCGGATCTCAACAGGCACGTTAGCCGTACTTTTGAAATGTTTTTCTATCCCAAAAGACCTGATGACCTGTGACCCGCCCCTGACCTTTGAGTCCTGGCCTCAGATAATTTTAGCCTATAAATCAGGTGTTTCCATTACATCAGGACTTTATTTCAAAATTAAGCCGAATGTTTTGAAATCTCAACCTGAAACATTCCATAATCACAAAACAGTGCTGCATGGATCTTGGCGCTTTTTTTTTTTTAGCAAGTACTGTGGTCTGTTAAAAGGGCAAATTTTTATGATGATACCTTCAGCAGCTGATTAAACATCATTCTGCAAACATTTTTTTACTATAATTAATAAAAATTCAAGCCAGCTTGATTGAAGGTCAATTCTTGTACACTGACCAATGTTGTGAATGACAATAGTTTTATTTTGTAGAGGGTGCTGCTATGCTGAGCAATTTCTGTTAAGGGTAAACCATGAACATTTGACTGAGAACAGCTATGGATGTTTCAAGGTTGTGTTAAAATATACTAGCAATATCAAGTACTATTGTACGTGGCATGATTATTTAAATTATTTCCTAGCCAGGCTGAGAGTGGTGCATGCTTTGTTAAAAAACCCACACATCATTTTTTCTTCCCAGGAGATGCCACTAAATCTAAAATTTCACCTTTGCATATGAATCGAAAAGTTACATTGAGAAAAATCTTGGTTTCCATAAATAAAAGATTTTGTGTCAAGGAATAAAAAAGGTTGAAAAAAAATCTGAGATCAGGGAATTGATGCAGAGGACAATGAAAGGTCCTTTTTAAAAAGTCTTTGTCTCTTCAGGTTTCAGCTCTCTCTGCAACAGGCCATCGCCTTCATCCAATGCAAGCCAGCTATGGCAAACAAATTTGTAATCTTCGTATTCAGGGATCTGAAATCATCCACCGTTAGATATTTGTAATTTAATTTTAAAAAAAAATGGAAAATGGCAATTTAAATCTTTAATAAATTATGTTTTAAATACCCACCCCCTCATAAAACAGAGATTTTCAACATATATTGTTTAATAATTAATCATAAAGTATTGCAACAAAAGGTATTGGGCAAAAATAAAAACAATCCTTTTACAAAACTGTTGATTGCAAATTTTCCACCTTTAAAAAAAATTAATTTACTCTTCTTTAATAATTATATAAAAGTGACATTGGTGAAAACCCAGGAAAATATTTAAAATAAAACAGATCGCTGTATCTACTAACCTTGACAGGATTACCATCAACATTGAATACATCCTTCTCCGTCAACACATCCTCATCTTCCGACTCGCTCTCTTCATCCAGCTTTGACCTCCTCAGGTCAGACAGAGATAATGTCTTTAATTTCTCTGACAGAAGTTTCTTGCGCTTGTCTTTTGGCTTTCCTTTGGTCTTCACCTTCCTCAGAAACTCTTCTTGCTCATCTTTGGCTAGTTTTCTTCTAACCTTGACCTAAATTGAAGGTACAAAACCCAAGGTTCACACTGGGGTACTATCATCTATAATTTATGACACCACGGTTCATTAACTGTGATAAGTTTAAGTTGTTTTGAAACCTTATTTACAAGGTTTGTTTAGTTCAGCTGATAATTAACATGGACCAGGCACCATTGAAGTTGGCATACATCCTCTCTACACATTCAAATTATTTTAACATATTGATTTATGTTTAAGCACTCATAACATGTACTTTAAGTACAGACCTTCACAAACACTTGCCTTAGAAAGATTCTGACCATGGAGTGGCCAAACAATATCATCAAAAAAGACTTATGGGAAAGAATGTACCAGGAGCCTATTGGTTAAGACATCATAAGGAAAAGATGGAGGTGGATAGGGCACACTCTCCGCAAACCCCAAGATAACATCAACAGAAAATTCCTAAGGTTGAACCCACAGGGACAAAGAAAGACAAAGAAGGCCTAAGAATACATGGAGGCGTGAGCTATAGGCAGACACACAAAATGTAAGATACACCTGGAAGCAACTGGAAAGAAAAGCACAGGACCAAGTTGAATGGAAAATTCTTGAAGCCGGCGTATGCCCAAGACAGGGTAAAAGGCATAAGTAAGTAAGAACTAATAACATAACTGAGTGTACATAATTACATCTAATTAACTTGTTTATTATATCACAAAATATAAACTCTCTAAATTTCGTACAGTGCACATTTTGTGAGTATGAGTCACCTAGAATTATATAGTTTTAAGATAAAATATAATAATAATAATAATAATAATAAGGTTTATTTGAAAATCACACTTCATTCCCAAAGGCTTATCCATATTTAAAGAGAAATTAAAAAAAACCTATATTCTACCACATTGAAATACAAAACACAACATTACAAAAACCACATATGAGCATACCCCTTCAAAAGTCTTTCATATCTTGTAACCATAAACAACACAAGCCAATATATACATCTAGGAGATAATAGCTAGCTGGAAAAGATGGTCGACAACATCACCCCAGCAGGTGTTTGCGAAATAGATGTGTTTTTAAATCAGTTTTGAAGGACTCCAGTGTCTGGCTGTTTCTGAGAGCAACAGGAAGGGTGTTCCAAATGGTTGGGCCAGCAATTGTGAAAGTGCACCTTCCGTAAGTCTCAAGGCGAACTAATGAATTATTCAATATACCTATTGGGAATAGTTGTTGTGTCCAATAAATTGCTAAGTTCAATCAAATAAGGCCCTTCAACAGATCCACCAAGTGTTTACTGAACCACTCTAGGGAATACTTTAAAATTTGATATGGTTTCCATTGGTGACAAACAAATACTTACATCTTCACAAAACCAGCCAGCTCCCGGGTTTTTATTGTCATGGCCAATGATAATGCTTTCGATAGGACCAACATCAAATGCCTTCACCTGTAAGGATTTCAAAAAAAATAATTTGAGGTGCAACAAATATTTTTCTAAACTTTGACAATATAACATGGGAATAGACCAATAACCTGGGAACAGACCAGAACTTAATGCAGTTTTTAAGAATGAAAGTTCCCAAACTCATTCTGGCGGCTGCACTTTAACTGATGAACTGAAGCCATTTCGGAAGAGACAGCCTTTTTTAATTCCTGACCTGTTTGACTGTCTTCCGACTTACCTCCTCGCTCCCTTCTACCCCCACCTTCCAAGATTAGCTGCATTACTTGGATGGATCTAAGCAGTTAACCAATAGATGAGCATGTAATTTGATGAATTTTAAGTATAATCTTTAACAAAAATTTAAAAAAAAACAACAAAAACCTATGTTTAATTTAATCACAACACTTAACACCACCCCACCGCCCACCCCCTTTTCACTTTTTGTTTTTCTCAATCCTTTTCCACTCCCAAATCTCACTTGACAGATGCACGAAGCAAATGTGTTACCTGTGTTAACTTACAAAGTTTTTAAAGCTCTATCAAACATTGCTCTCCTATCAGGATGTGGAGTTAATGACTGAAACTTTAAAAAAAAAAAATCAGAGACAAACCTTAAATTGTTCCGTCATCCCTCTCTCAAAATTATTTCTATGGTCATCCAGTAACAGCTCCTTTGTTTTTCCTTTTCTCCCCTGGATTATGATGTAGACGTTGGCGTCAGTCCCGGCAGACCTTTGGTCGCCTGTCCTTACTGTCACTTCATAAACAGTCTCTTTACCTGCAGGGTGGTGAAAAGAAATATGTTTAAATCAAAACACATTTTACTTTAGAGAATATGTGGATATTCATCTGTACACAATATTAAAGATGTTATCCTGTTATGATTTTATTAGGCATATCCATGACATTAATAGGGTAAAATATTTTATTATCAACAATTTTAGTTAAAGAAATTTTTCATTTTAACTGACAGGTAAAGATAAAAAGGGAAACTTTAAAAATAGATTTCATTATCCAGATACCTTGTTATAATTGTTTTAATATCATTAGATAAATAAAGAATACATCACTACAGTGACAAGAACAACATCCATTTAAATGAAAGTTGTTTGAACACCAAAGAGAAAAAAAGTTACTAGTATGCTGATGAAAAATGTTTTTACAATCCTGTGTAATAACAAAGAGGTGGAACAAAGTAGTGCAACTAGCATCTAAATGTTGTATCATGGGCCATGGTTTTTAACTAATGCATTTTTTAAGACTTTTTTTTTTTAGTCAACTTTTGATATTTGGACTATAGAAAAGATCAAAATCTGTAAACACATAAAGAAAAATGTATGAAGTGGGGTAAAGCTGAACTAGGGTCACAACAAAACCCACACAAAAACTTTAAACACAAAGTAAATCATCAGCAGACAACAAAAAGAAACATTATACCATTATTTCACAAAGTTTTTGATTATCCTGTAATTTCTTGTTGCTGCTTCAATATTTTTTAATAGATTTCACTTCATTTCTCCTGACTGACATTCATAAAAAGTCTTTATATTATTTGTTTTTTTCTATTAGATTTCTGTCTTGTAAAAATCCAAATAAAGTCATTATATAATTTTAAGCACTTAAGTTATGTCCATTCAAAATTTTTGTATTTTGTTCCGTTCCATGATAACATTTTCTCACCTCTTTAAGCCAAACCTTATTAACTAATTGTTGTTTTAACTTAAAAGAAGAATTACTTCATAAAAATTAAATTATGACTCTGACTTTGGTTTGTCTTTCATCCTAAAAAAAAAAGCAACTCAAATTGTTTGCAGTGTAGTTTTAAGTAAAAGTGGGGAACTCTTTAGATAAATTATGTGATCTAAAACAAAATCATACAATATGAAGAAAATCAAAACATTCAATGAAGAAAAAAAAATTCCTCAGTAAATAGTACATAGGTAAAAAAAAATGAAACAAATTTCTCATTGTAATATTTAAAATTTGTTTTTGAAAGAAATAGAAACTGCTAAGGATCTAAAATTATAAAAATCATCTATTCAAATTTTGATGAAAATAAATATTAAAAAAAGGGGCAATTTTTTATTCGAAATAGGTGAAATGATGAACACTCTTTGTATAAATACATGACACATAATATTTAAACCTTTGTGTACAACTATTGGCCTGATAGGAGCTGGACATGTGAACAAGAAGAAAAATTAAATTAGTTTACAAAATCAAGCATTAATTTGAAAAGTTAAAATTAACTTACAAGGTTACAAGAATTGAGTACATTTTTTTTTCTCCAATAAATCTCATCTTAAAACCCTGGTTAATGCAAAAACTTGTTTAACGGAATGGTGTTCAAAGATTTATATTTAAAAAAAAAAAGAAAAAAGAAAACCATAAAATCTTAGATCAACTAGAGAGACACTAGAACTGATGGACTGTAGACTCCCACTTTTCTCAGTATAAATTATGGTGACATGAGCAGAAGATGCTGTCATAGCATAGTACAAAGTTACGGATTCTAATATAACAAGATGCTTACACTATGGGTTGTCTAGATATCCACAACCAATAATTTAAGAGCTGAGTTCCTCAAAATAAGAAAAATAACAAAACAGTGTCTGAAGGCACAGAGGAAGATGAGCGTCACATTGTTGCTCTGTCACTAGTTATATATCAAAGTAACAAGAAATACGTGATGCGGCATAGTCGACAGTAGTGCTGCTACATGGTCTCTGATTATGACTTTTATTTAATAAAGCCTTTTATGAGTATAATGTTATTAAAATTTCAACTTAAATATGTTTAGCAAAATATTTTTTTATTGATTGAAAATAAGGGAAATAGCCAGTTCTATTTTTATTTTTTGGTTTAACCAGACATTTAATTCTCTCCCTTTAATATAAAAGCACATGATGAACGCATCTGAGCTGGGACAATAATTTTTTAAAGAAAATATTTTTTAAAAACTCTTGACGTAGTGGTTGACCATGTTTGCCGAATGAAACAATCTGCATTGATTAACATGACATTTCATGGATGCTCAATCAAGAGGAGCTCAAGTTGGCTCCATAAAAACTTATTAAAATGTTAAAAAATTAGAAGCCCTTTCCGTGGCTGGATGGCTGTGCACTCTATATCGTGTCAATTCCAAGCTTGTTCAAATCCCAGAAAAGCGTAGGCAAGCAAAAACATCACAAGCACCACACGGGTGGATTGGACTCGTTAAACTTGGATGACAACGCATCTAAGCGAAGTAAAACTCTGAATTCCAACCCGGATATGGAATCCCATAGGCAGTATGACATTAACTAAATGAAAAATTCCGGCAACTCCTGCTGGTGCCAAGCTGGGTTATCCAGGTGTGTGTACATTGGCCATTCGATGACCATGGAACCAGCTTATCCTCCTAAAAGAATGATCCCAGGCCTTATTATTTCATCCTTTAAAATCTACAACATCGTCACATTGTGACAGATAGGTGCCATAAAAAAAAAGGGAAAAAAAAAAAAAAGAATCCCCCATTACAATTAATTGAGACCAACAATTGTCTCAGAGTGACGTGTGAGCAAGACTAACCTGATGTGATCTCTTTGGGCAGTTTTGTCTTGGCCTTTATGTCTCTCCACAGATGCCCATCCCCAATGTCTTTGGCGATCCAACCATTCAGCACAAAATGATATCTAATTTTAGGGTCAGTTAGGCTCTGCATGTCAATCTGTTTGGGAAACAATAATTGGTTGTCTGTCCATACAGTGATTTAAATTTTTTTTATATTTCAGTGTTACATTTGAGAATATATTAAGACTTTTTTCTGTTTCAACAACCTTTATTAAAATAGTTTTATTTGTTAAAAGAAAATTATTCTTTTTCTCATAGTTCTAATGAATAAATATGCCCACTTTCTTCATTTACCTGCACCAACCAAAATAACATATAGGCTACATTTGCCATTTCACCCTTTAACTGAAACTAATATACTAATGCCTATGTCTGAAACTTACCGTTGATCTCAGGGGTCATCATAAAAAGAAAAATGCTCACTCTTTCTAAAAATCATCATGAGAAAAGAAAAATACTCACTCTTTCTAAATACCACCCAGAGGCGAAACCTTTGTTGTCATGCTCAATTCTGTGAGTGAGAAATAAATGTGTCATCAAATTATTTTATCAGAAACTTGAAAAAAAGACAAGAAGAGAGATTTCATATCACTTGCTGTGGTATAAATTTAAAAAACAACAACATTTGTCTTTTGTATCTAATTTGAAATGTTCGTTTCTCTAAAGACATGCTAAGTTTAAGAATCCTAAAATTACCACACTAGTAGATATCACAATTAAAAATTCTATAGGTATCCATGTATAGCAATCACGTAGATTTCAATAGGTGTGCTAAATAAAATTCCGTTACTTCAATGATTGTCAAGTAACAATAGTAGATGAGAAGTTCACACATCACCCACAGAATTGTTTAGCGGGTTATTCTAGATTACAATTATAAAATTAAATAGCCATAATGTCTGTATCAAATATACTACTAGTTACACATTAACTCTGCTACTGGCAGCTAGACTTAGTCATTATGATGCTAGCTGTACGCAGTTACTACCTACAGTAACCCAAAACCCCCAAGACACACACCATTCCTGCCTTAGCACGCCTGTCTTTCTGTCATTTTTACACAGCTGGTTGAACCCAGTTGACCCATAATTTGATCAAGGGAAGCAGCTCACCTCATAGACCGGATTTTTCCAATGTCTGGAAACTTTACAGTGAACTCATCAACGCTGCCTTTTTGAAAACGATTCTTCATATTGTCGGCTAATAGTTGACATTTTGGTGATGAGCCTTGGACCCCATAGAAAGTTACAAACACTCTAGCATTAGTTCCAGCTAACTGCTTTTTCCCAGTCCTCACTATCAAAGTGTATTCTAGGCAATAAAAGAAAGGGGGGTGCGGAAACAAACCAAATGCATGAATGATAATGCTGAAACCAGTGAAAGTCTGGTCAGGCTACTTCTAGAAAAAATTTTTTTATTATTATTATCACTTTTTACATTCACAATAAAGAATGGTGAAAGATGGGCCGGTGGTTCTCAGTCTGGAAAAATAAATATATCTGGGATCCACTTTTATAGACCCTGAACTTAAAACATGAAGAGACTTTAAAGTTTATGACCTATGCAAGTGTAAAATGATAATAATAGTATGTGAATCTGCTGGGAACATACATGCAAGAAAACATTCAAAGATTTGAACATATTTTTCATTAAACAATCACAACTGCTCTCTTCAACATTATCATTTATTTTAATAAGGGATTGAATTAATCAAGCGAAATATATCTCATGATGCCAAAGAAGTTAAGGGCAATCTTACAACTTAGAAAGGAGAGAAGGTTAAACAAATTCCATACCTTGCATAGTTTTTTCCACAGCATTGGCGTAAAGGTCTCGTATGGCCATGAAGTCTCCCTTGTCAAAGGAGAGCCAATTGTTGCAAACAAAAAGCCATTTTTTCTGCGTTTTCATACAGGTAACTTCAATCTTTTCACAGTACCAGCTGCGTCTTGGTTCAGTGTTTTCACAATCATGCTAAAAAAATAACAAAACATGAATGTAAATAAGTTTCAATATCTTATTCATGAAACATGTTTCCATCAATTTATTTAGCTAAACAGAGAATCTAGACCTTGAAGGAAAAAAAATGTATAGACTATAATGAATAATGCTGAGTAAGTTTCTTAGAGAAAATTAATCAAGACTACAATATAAGGTCCATTAGCTGATTAATGAACATAGCTATTGAAATGATGCTAACATTTTTCTGAATCATAAACAAATGCATACAGATTTGTTTACCATATAGGCATAACATATTAACTCAAATAAAAAACTGAAATTTCATCAAAGCATAGACAATGGAGATGGTATCACTTGACATTTGTCCTCACTTCAAGGGTTAGGACCTCCAGATTTCCCAGTTTTGGTGCTTTGACAAAAAATGTTTCCACTGATCCTCTGAGGAAAAAGAATTTTTTCGTAAGACTCCCCCGATATAACTGGGTCCGGTGAAGTACATTTTTATTTCCTGTGATGGTTACAAACACCTGCAAAATATTAAAATTCATACAAAAATATGTGATTAATTAATCACCATAAGTGCATCATACATATTTTATATGTTTGCTTAAGATGCAACTGTCACTTAATGATAAGAAAATAACCAGATTTATTCCTAACCCCCCCACCCCCAAACAGCCTAGCTCTCATTAGTTTGTATTTGTTTTTCCAGCAAATAAATTAGAATGATCTTAACATAGTTTTGTCACTATTTTAGCAAAGGTGTTTTTTTTTTAAAATTTTAAATAACCTACTTTGGCATCAGTCAAGGATTCTGGTTTGTCTCCTGTCCACACAACAATTTTGTATCTGTTATTGTAATGTTCCAAGGGTAAATCTTCTGTCATTTGTATCCTGACTCTTGGGGGAGGTGCTATATACTTTAACTTGGGCCTTGCATTTCCTTTCATTTTCTTTGGAACTTGCTTCATCATGGTAAATAGATGGTTAATTAGTTAAGTAATTACTGTATTAAAGACATTCTTTATGCTAATTATGTAATTGCTTTTAAACAGTCAAGAGAAATCAGATCAAACTGTTTATGTAAACTATGATCAAACTGTTTATGTAAACTATAATAAAACTGATTATATTTCATTTTGACACAGTCACATAAACACTTAGACACATAGTCACATAAAAACATAGTTACATAGACACAAATGCATATAGACACATTACATTTTTGTCCCTTAAAAAAAAAAGACATTACTAATATTCAAGCCAGTGATGTAAGACAAGTTGTTATTTACTCTTCATTAAATTTAAAATTCAACATTATAGCAAGTAGCAATAATAATCACCATATGTAGGCGGTGTTCTTCCATTGTAGAACAAAGGTAGCAGAAGTTTCTTGGACCTGAAAAATTATGATCAGAGTTAAAAAATTGAGTTGATATCTCTTGAAACAAATATTCATTCCTAAAAATGCAGAGCCTTCAGAGTATATCTGAAAAATGTGTATCCTACTTTTTTAAACAAAATATAAAATAATTAAATTAGATTTTAAAATGTTAAAAAAAGCACTTTGTTGAAAATTACTCAGAAGTTCTGCATGGCTAAATATGGAATTGAACACTGATAAAAACTTGCCACTTTTTAATTATATATCAATAGGCCACAACATATTTTTAGTCACTTTTTTATTACACTAATTATCACATTTTTTGCATAATTAGCATATTTGATATTTATAGAATAATCATAAAGGGGCAAAAAAGAAATACATTTTCAACCTGTATCTGAGTTATGTGATGAAACATCATCTTCCTGCATGGTTCCTGTTGGAGAATTCCACAAACTTCTTGGTGCAAACATTACACTAGAATCATGCCATGATGAATGTCCTGTTTTGCATATGAACAATATATTTTAGATAACTATTCTTTTCCATATATCACCTCATTTCTTAGTCTTTTTATAAAAAAAAGTTCATTTGTATGAAGCCCCTGTCATTTTTGTCACGATAACCATTACTGATTAGAGTGGTTTTTGAAAGCTAACAAACTTGTATATTTTTAGCTCTTTTTAAGGAATTAAGCTGGTGATGACTAATAATTTTAAATGTTTAAACGAATTATTTGCCTGATGGTTGCTGGGTTCTTTTAGAGTTTAGAATCTAAAGAAAATATTTAGGTATCACTCATGTCATATTGCCAATACCAACAGAATTACCTAATTATGATATACGTGAGTTTGATTAAATCTACGTACAAAATTTTGTAAAACTTACCAATACTTTGTTCAGAATGTTTATTTCTTGATTGTTGTGGTGCACTGTTCATTCTTTCAAATTTAGCAAGATTATATCTTGTAATTTGAGTCAACTGGTTCAAGGAGTCTCCATAAAGCTTAGTTAGATAATATTTTAGTTTGAAAATTTGATAATTTTTTTTATATTTTAAGTAGGCTACACAATTTCCAAATATATCATAAACATAGGCATCTTGACTGAGCTCAATTTTTACTTAAGTTAGTGTCATTAATATGTACCAGTCTTTAAAAAAAGAAGACTGCTCTTTCTTTAAAGCCAGGCAAGACATACACACTAATTTTTAAACGTATAAATACTAAAAGTTGATACCTGTGAATTGATGGGGCCTGCCCATGTGTATCGAACATTGGAGTCGTTGTGTGCCGAAGGGTTTTGGGAAGCTGAATAAACAACTCGAGGCTTGATAGCCCAAACGTTAGAATCATTCATTTTCAATTATTATGAAAACTTAATTAAAATAAATGAACAACAGAAACACATTATAAGCAGACACAGCTCCAAAAGAGCCGGAAGATATCTACTTAAAAGTTAAATTGCGGCTAGGTATTCGCCATGATTGTTTGGTACGTTTCCCACGGTGAATGTGTTGTTTCTATTTTTCTTTCACAAAAGAGCTTAAAAGCTCAGTCAAAAGTCAAAATCATTTCGCGTTTTCCCCCCTTATCTCCCTTCTTTAAACAATATGAACTATAATAAATTCATCGCAAAGATATAGCCTAAGTGAATATTTATTTAACCTGCTATATTATAGTTGTAGAAAGAAATTGCGCCAACTTAAAAAAAAATAATTCTTGATACAACTGTAGGTTGTAGTCTGGTTGTAGACCTCTTCTATTTATTACTTATATCCCTATACTTCACTATTTATTCACTAGGAATCAAGATATGAACAATATGGCCATTTCGAAGAATCAACGCATTTCCGGTGACGTTACCACGGACCCCACTTTATAAACTTTATGTACACGGGCCCCCACTCCAACACCATCATTTCCTGAACTAATCAAGTAAACGCACTGTAAACCCGACTGTCATAACATTATTTTATATTAATTAAATCCATTTGAGAGTTTTTAGATCAATCATCAACGACAACATTATTGCCTCTACACCAGTTCAGAATTTCTCACTGCGGACTTCTTCGCTGCAAAAAAAAAAAAAAATGTAACAAGTTCATCAACATCTGTCTGCTTTGAGTATTTATTTTCTCTGCTGAGACTGGATATATTTAGAGAATCTGTCTTACAACATGGTACCACCGTGTTTTGTTTTTGATGACCTTTAAGCTTCCGAAACGACCTCTCTGCTTTTGCCACCGTTGCTGGTGCAGACATCGGGGGGGGGGGGGGGTTGTATGTAGCAAGTGGACCATTTTAGGGAATACAAAAATGAGTCAAGTCTTTTGTTTGTGTTTATTTTCTTAATTTCTTTCGGTTTATTCTTGTTTTGTTTTTGAGAACCAGTCTCAAAGTTTGCAGTTGCTCGAAGAACGATGCTGTTATATTATTTTAAAACTGCTGGTGTAGCTTTGCCGCCTCCGAGAACAGTCCATCATCAGTTGGTGCAGTCAATTTTGACATTCTGCCAAATGTATCTACCACAACTTGCATTCCTCTGGACCGATGAATAACATGATTGATGAGAATGTCTAGAACAAGGGTCAACAAAATACGACCCGCGGGCCGCATCCGGCCCGCGACGTCAGTTCATCAGTCCCGGTGAAGGTACTTGAATGTGATTGATAAATCATAAGCAACATGAGACGTTGTTATACAATTTAAATATTTTGTTTAAAATACTGGGAGGTCTTCACGCGAACATTTGTAAGCAATTCTCTTGATTGGATGTAGCAATTCCAAACCAAACATTGCTGATATCTTGAAAGCTAAACATTAGTTTCACATAACTCATTAATCATTTTTCTGCTGATTAGTTTGTGAGATTAGAAAATGTGTGCGCTAGTCCTAATGTAACTATCTTTTTTTTTTTTGCTAACGTCACTTTCATTGATAACTTTTTTAGTAAATAATATGTTGGTTGTCTTTGTTATTTTGTACATTGTACGCCACTCACCCATGACTAACATGGAATACTAAACTTAGTTTTTCGACTTTTTCCCCAAAGCTTTCGTTCTGGCTTGTAAGTATTGTACAGAATGATTATGCGGCCCGCGCTCGTCATTTCTTTAGTTATCTATTCACCATGGATTCTTGATTAAACACTATCTTTCACTTCCCCCCTTGTGAAGAAAGTTTGGTGACCCCCCTGTAATGTAACCTACATTTACTTTGAATCAAATTTCTTGATCAGTGGGTCTTCTTAGGAAAACCGCTTCTTTGCTGTCGGTATTTGTTTACTTTTTACAATGGTGGTCTGAACACCCCTTTGCTGGGTAAGGTGGTCTGTACACCCCATTGCTGGGTAAGGTGTTCTGTACACCCAAACGCTGGGTAAGGTGGTCTGTACACCCCATCGCTGGGTAAGGTATTTGTACACCCCATTGCTGGGTAAGGTGGTCTGTAAACCCCATCGCTGGGTAAGGTGGTCTGTACACCCCATCGCTGGGTAAGGTGATTTGTACATCCCATTGCTAGGTAAGGTGGTCTGTAAACCCCATCGCTGGGTAAGGTGGTCTGTACACCCCATTGCTGGGTAAGGTGGTCTGTACTCTGTACACCCCATTGCTGGGTAAGGTGGTCTGTTTACCCCATCGCTGGGTAAGGTGGTCTGTACACCCCATTGCTGGGTAAGGTGGTCTGTACTCTGTACACCCCATTGCTGGGTAAGGCGGTCTGTATTCTGTACACTCCATTGCTGGGTAAGGTGGTCGGTACTCTGTACACCCCATCGCTGGGTTAGGTGGTCTGATTTATATGAATGAAATAGCAAAACGAGGTATGTGGAAGCTTGAATAAGATAACAGGACAAAAGACAAAGACGCTTCGGCATGAAGCCTTCCTCAGCCAACAGCAGAAATGAAAATATAACAAAAAACAGAGCACAGTAGACAACTCAAGAAGTATCCATTGGTGTCATTTACTAAGCTTGAGAGCGGTCCTTACATTTATATTTTCTGATCTATACGCAATCATTATGCACAATTAGTTCAAAATTTTGGATTTACAGTGCCCCCACTTTTCACCTACTTTTAAATTTGGTATGAGAATCATTGTTATTAGTGCGAAAGATTTTTGTTCCGTGAATTGTGTCATGAGTTGTATTATTGGGGCTCATTGTTCATTGGGTGACGTAAAAAGCATAATGAACAAAAGTGTGAATGTGGGGCGTGAGCTGGAGAGGTTCCGGGCAGTAGATGACGGCGAGAGTTGTTGATAACGTTTATGAGTGATAGATCATGTTTTTTTTGGATAGTTTTTTGATGAGGAGATATTGCAAGCAGGTGGATCTGTGTGACAGATACGCAGACTAAAGATGAAGTGTTGGTGATCTGGTATTCGGTGTGTCTGGATCTTAGCGCATAGGGTGACAGTGTGCATAGGGTGACAGTGTGCATAGGGTGACAGTGTGCATAGGGTGACAGTGTGCATAGGGTGACAGTGTGCATAGGGTGACAGTGTGCATAGGGTGACAGTGTGCATAGGGTGACAACGTTGCCAGTAAAACTCTAAGTAACTCGACTAGACAAACGAGAGCATTTTGGTTATGGGGGCCCGTCCGAAGTATCACACCGCCGTGTGAAGTATCTTGGCCTGGCTGCCCGAGGCTGTGAAGTATCTTGGCCTGGCCGTCCGATGCTGTGAAGTATCTTGGCTCGTCCGATGCTGTGAAGTATCTTGGCCTGGCTGTCCGAGGCTGTGAAGTATCTTGGCCTGGCTGTCCGAGGCTGTGAAGTATCTTGGCCTGGCTGTCCGAGGCTGTGAAGTATCTTGGCCTGGCTGTCCGAGGCTGTGAAGTATCTTGGCTCGTCCGATGCTGTGAAGTATCTTGGCTCGTCCGATGCTGTGAAGTATCTTGGCCTGGCTGTCCGAGGCTGTGAAGTATCTTGGTCCGGCTGCCCGAAGCTGTGAAGTATCTTGGCCCTGCTGTCCGAGGCTGTGAAGTATCATGGCCCAGCTGCCCGAGGCTGTGAAGTATGTTGGCCCGGCTGTCCGAAGCTGTGAAGTATCTTGGCCCGGCTGCCCGAGGCTGCGTGGAGTATCTTGGCCCGGCTGTCTGAAGCTGTGAAGTGTCCTGTCCGTCTGTTTGTTGAGGCTACCGGTTGCTGAGCCGGTGGTTGAGCCGTCCGGTTGTGAAGCACTCCGAGTCCTCAGAGCTGAACCCTGGAAGCAGTAGTGCCGTAGCCGCTACGCAACCCAGTTAAGCTTAGACCTGTACATCGTTTGGATTGAAAACTCGGTTGGTATCGTGATGGAAATTTTCACCGGGATCTCTCTGGGTTGTAAGCCTGGGAATCGTGAACACCGTTGGACGTCGTATGCCCTGATTCGGTGAGCGCCTGAAAACTTGTTAAGATAAGTTTATATTTAAACCAGAGTATTTTAACCACAGTGACCAATACAGCGCCCGTCCAGATTTTGCTGTGTCCAGCTTTCTGTAACAGTGTCAAGCCACTTCTGCTGGTCTGGTGTGGCCATAGCTACGTCTGCAGAAATACTCGTTTTACCCCCGAGAGAGCCGCAGTTAAGTCAAATCAATTGTTGACATTCCAATATTGTAAGTAGACAATAACATTTCTCTTGTGAGGTTCGTGGAGGTCAAGGACTCCCCCACACCCAGTTTAAAAAAAAAATAAATATAAAACAAAAGAGTTCCGAGCGGAGTGGTTGCCCCTAGGTTCGTCACTAAGTCTCCGGATGGTTGCTCCCTAGGTTCGCCACTGTGTTTCGGGGCGATCGCCCTCCTGGGTTCGTCACTGACTCTCGGAACCCTTACATTAGAAAAGCGTCATATAAATAGTAGTGTTTTTCGAAATGGGAAGGGGGGTGGGGGGCGGCAAACTCAAGGTGCCTGCCTGGTCGATCACTGCATATAACTATCATACGGCTCTTTGTGTGTGTATGTGGGTGGTGGGGGGGGGGCTGCATTTACAAATTTTACCCTGGGCGCAGCTTTTCCTTTGCACGGCTTTGTTTGTATTTTGTAAATAAAAAAAGAAGTTGCCTCCAGATTAATGGCTGTAAATCATGTTTAACAAAGCCTCGAGCCTATTTTCACTGAGCTTTAAAAGCAAGTGGGTAACAAATATTTTGTTTTCCTGATATTAAAAAAAAAAAAAAAAAAATTAACTGGATTTCTTTTCTCACAAAGCTAAATAAGATTAAGATTTCCTGAATTTTTTTCAGAGTCCCACCCACCAGTCGTATCCCACAAAAGTTGTTTTTTCTCTCCCAGATTGATCAATGCAGCTTCTGGTGCTGAAATTCAATAAAATAATCCAAAATTTTGCTTTAACGATTTAAAAAAACCCCACTAAAACACATTAGTTTTAATTGAAATCCTCTAATTGCGTGTCATCTAATAATATTTTAAAGTCTAATTACAGACAAACTCCTAAAAAAAAAACAAAAAAAACAACAACTTGGGGTTTTGTGTGTGTGGTGAATCTAAACTCGGTACT